TCACATACTTCATAGACATACGTCACATACGTCAAAGACATACGTCACATACTTGATGGACGGGATGTTCACTCTGTGAAATCGATTCAGACAAATGCAATCGAAGACTTGATATCGACGTCTCGCCAAGTAAACTGACTCTCCAACATAGCAATCAGGAACTGGCAGTCTAAAAGGTATAAAGGGTCTGGCTAAAATGCGAAAAGCTAATGTTTGAAGTATGTACTTTGAGCGGACAGACTGAAATCTTCACCAGATAACCCCCAGTCTTGGGTTTTGATTGGGCTTGAAATGAGCTCGTAACACACAGCTAGACTGTGGCCATTGGGTGGTAGGCGGGTGCTCTGCTGTGTTTCGCTCCTCACGTCCTGTTAAACATCTACGTCTCATCTCTCTTCTTTTGTATTATGTAAGTGATGTGTAAGTAATCTAGGGGCACATATTTCCCAATTGTGTCGCAAAGTGCTAAAAAAAAACTTTAACCAAACCGAAACAACAACAGACTATGACATTTTGCGCCTTCTCAAATGATCTTGAAACAGCATACATGATACATACATCTCTGCTAGGCTGGCTGTATGCGTAGAGGAAATAGATTATCCAAGTGAAACTTCCCTAATTTAAGATCTTGACTTCCTTGAAATTCTTCAACGAAAAAGGCATTATCAAAACAAATGAAATGAAGGAAGATGCAAGGGGTTTGTTTTGTTGGGGTTTTGGTCTTTGTTTTTTCGGGGGGGGGGGGGGGGGGGTTATTTTTTAAATCGTTTTTTTTACCGTTTTACAGACACGGTACAAACTTTTTTATGGAAAGGAGATTTTGAACTTTGAGTTTTGCTAGACATGAACAGGCTACAGTGAAGGCACCACAGTGAACCATTATAACTGACGAAAGAACAGAAGAAAAGGGAGAGGCAGAAGGCTGGGGTAAAACAACATACGTCGACGAACTGTTCAAACGTTCCAAACCCAAAACCAGTTTTTTTCCGGAGGGTGAAAAACGTTCATTTTCTCAAACAATCGTATCTATATTGTGTTGCTTTATTTGCTGGGGGGGTGGTGATTTAGAATGTGAATATCGACAAAATATTTCTTTAGCACCTGCAAACTACACAACAGGTCTTGAAACTGCAATAACAAGATTCAGAAGTGTGAGATAAGTACATCTGAAAAGCTGGCCAAAGAAATTACTTATGTTATCCTGTACCTCAACATACTTTCTTATTTTATACGCCGTCAGGCCCTTGACAGGATTCGAACCTATGACCCTATGGCTTAAAGTCCTTGAGCTGAGCCAGCCTACAGACCGCCTATTTCCAAACATCGTTATAGCAATACAAACTTATGAACGCTTCAGAACGCAGAAGACGACTATCACATTGAGGCCGATAAATGAATGTCGTCTGCTCCGATCTCGCCTCTCCGGATTCTGCGTCATGGTTTGCTGATAGAATTCCCCGTCATTTCCCCGCTCATGACGCGTCTAGCGGTTATTTCATTCTCAGGTTATCCACGATTGCTGTTATTCCACTTGCCTTCGTTTTACAACATCTTCTTTATATATAGCGTAACCTCTGTGTGTACTGATGTGAGGTTTTTAGCTCTTTTTTTTTGTCGATCGATCGTTTAGAACGATGAAGAAAAAATATGACGTCATAAGATAAGATATGATAAGATACATCTTTATTGTCCAGATCCTGGCACATTGGTTTGGTGTTCCACGGCAAGCTGATATTTCACAAATCCCTTGCCGTTTTGTGTTTTTTTTTTTGGG